AGTAAACAAAAAACCTGTTGGATTTACACACTTATGTCTACGCTTATCAAACACTTTTCAACAGCAAGTATTTCTAAACAGTGGTTATAACTTCTGCTAACAGAAAAGAACAGCCTGTTTTGGTGAAATAAAGTTGACATTTAATTTACTCCTGTAAATTTAAGTTGTTCATTCATTGATCTTATATGCTGACAGACAGGATTCCTTTAATGTTCTTGTGCAAAACCATAAATACAGTGTAGTTAAATTTTAGATAGGAAAATATTATGCTTTGTCTTGACAGCACCACAGTTAGGTATAAAGTTATAATGTTCAAATAATCCCTTCTGAGACTCTCTGTGTCATAAAATATGTAGTCTTTCAAAGCATATATGTATCTGTTATTTGATTTTTCCCAAAATCAGAAAGAGATGAACGGGTATCCGGATTCTTTACCTACAGATCCAAATTTCTCTCTGCTTCAGTCCCCATTTCCAGGCTATAAATATCTGATACAAGGTCTATCTGATACAAAAATACTTGATGAAATATAAAGTTATTACTTCCACCTAGGTGAAAAACTACAGAAATTTGGTGGTTGGTGGGTTTGGAGCTTTTTTACAAATAAAAGCCCCAAACCTAAATTCAATGTCCTTACTTTAATTCCTGCAATATTACTTGCTGTAATTACTTCTTTTGGTCTTACTAACACTGATGATATTTTAAGTAGTGACCCAGGAGTTATTTCTCCAATAATGAAGAAACAGATGCATCCATCACACTTCATGTAGATGAAGTAAATCAAGCTCAGTTCAAAAACCTCATGTGCATACACATCCATTTATTTTGTGAATAAGAGGCAAAGTATGCATTGTTCCTTGTTTAGCCCAAGCGATTAAAGCCTTCACATTCCATAATCAATGCAGTTAATCTCTCCCATTTCCTACATTCTTGAACACTGATTGTCCAATATCCCTACATTTGGCAGATTTATCTTGAAATAAAATGGCACATTAAACAAAGAACCTCTATGATGAGAATACATGCAGTGAGATGGAAGCCAAAAAAGAAAAAAACAACAAAAATAATCAAATTAACAACAACAAAAGTCCGCAGCTAGTTTAGCAAATAATAAGATGTATTATTAAATTTAGACCTTTTATCAAATGTTCTCATGATTCACACTAAGGTCTCTTTTCATCTGGGTACTTCTCTCATTTTTATTGTTAACAGATTATCAAAATTCCATCATACAATCCAGAATGTCTGCTTTTTTAACCACAGAAAATGAACTACATAAGTTCCCGTACAGATAGAACACTATATCAAATTGATCTGTAAAGAAGTAGCCACTTTCAGCAACTACTGCACAAGTACATATTAATTTTATAGTGCATTATTAGGACAGATAACTCAGCATGTTCATGATGGCCCCTATTACTGCAGTCTCTTATGTTCTAACAGCTATTACACTTACACCATATGCTACTGAAACATCTGCAGACTTTCAAGCAAAAGAAGCAAGGGTTTTTTCTCAATCATCATTGCACACCAAGGTGCTCAAAACCATATTCTGTATTCAAAGGTGAAATAACCAATGTGACAGATCACATAACACTGCTGTTTGGTTGCTGAAGAGTAGACAGAATTTCTTAGTTTAAGCATTGTATACTACATTTTTCCTCTACAATCAGTAGTCCAAAAAGGTGCCACTGCAAAACCAAAGGGTTCTTAAATGGCAAATAATGCAAGCTCCTGTTGTGCTTGCTTCTTATGACTTTCTCCAAGTAGAATTTTGCCTTCAATGAGCTTAGAGCTCTCTTTAAACAACAGTGTTTAAAATAGAGATGCTCTATGTCAAAGGAATATCTGTATCAAGTTCCATCTGAAACTGAGAGGAAAAGTCTAAATATCCAAACTATTCACAGAGAAATAATCAAAAAGTAAAAATTAAAAAAAAAAAAGAAAAAGTCTTAGGGGCAGATTTCTTTTATGGCTCAAATACTTTGGTTATAAGATCCTTGGGATGCATTCTGGTTATTAGGCAGGCACAGCAGTTTCTATACACCTCCACAGACAAGCACATGGATCATGCAGATGAAACGAAAATTCAGTTGATGTTAATTCATAACAAGGATTACTGAACGAGTCTTTGGGCAGCCACAAACAAGTTGACCAGAACTAGGTATTCTGTCAGCATCCCTTGACCTCTAATTGTTCCTACCAATACCTATATCCCATGCTCAGCATCAGAAAATGAAAGCAGATTACCTTAAGCAAAATACTGCCTTCAGAAGCTCGGTTTGTGTCTTAAGTCAAAACTAAACTCTTAATGACCCAGACAGTCTGTGAGAATAAGAGGAAGAGCTGAAAAACACCTGAACATTTTTTGTGAAGAAGTCAATGTGTTTGTTAACTGAAAGAGGGACAAGCCAACTAAGTTATCCTCAGGGCTCCTATAATTCTAACATGGATATCATGCTACAAGGCAATCTCCCCCCCTCTATTTAACCAAGACTCCCCTAAAAGATAACATTATTGCTAGTTTAAGATTCCTTAAACTTATTTTGTGGCCATTAAAATATTACACAGTTGGAGTTACTGAAAAAAAAATAATAAATATTTTACATTAGGACCAAAGGAATTTGTGGTCTGAGTAGTAATTACCTATAGCTTAATATAAATCAAAAGATACAGTAAAAAAAGTAATTTTGGACAATAGAAGAAACCCTATTTCATCACAAACATTTGACATCTTAGTGGGAGGCAGTATGCCTCTCCCTGAAAGCGGAACTTTCCCACTCTGCCAGAAAAATATTAGGACATCAAGGAGTTTTTAGCAATTCCAACTAATTTCAACAACAGCAATGGCAGTACTCCCTGCTCAGCATTTAAAGACAAATCCAAGAGGAAAGAACTAAGAAGAAACAGAAAGGGTAGAGAAAATGGCACCTCTGTATCTCTACTCACTTTGCATTTGTTTTCTACTAATTAATGCCATCTGAAAAGGCTAAGTTTAAACAGAAAATATAGTCTGGTTCTTCAGACCCAAATTCTATTCAATAATATTTAAATTTTAATGATCAACATTTCCACCATAGAACACAAAGACTGAAAATATAAACTTTCTCATTTTGAAAAACACAATGTAAATCATGTACATTAACCCTTATATTGCAAACCGTGACTGCTGGAATTGCATGGAAGCAGTTATGCAATCCAGACATATTGTTTGGGCGATATCTTTTCCTTCTTTTAGCTGCTAAATCTTCATCTGAAAATTCAGCAATTTCAATTAAAGTAGAATATAAAGCATGTAAAACATAGGGTAATGTCTGAATTTGATATGCAATGTGTGCCTTGAGGCACTGTATCATAATTCAGTCTTGCTTTCATTCTGTCTAAACATGTATTTACCAACAATAAAGGCAGGCTCTACTTTGTTGTACAGGTGGAATCCTCATCTCTTCTCTCCCTCTTTGATTTGATCTTTTCTACCTGAAAGTCGGCACATTGCAAAACTTTTTTGTAAAGTCTATGCAGACTTTATTTCAGTGACCTCTAGTCCTTATAATTACAACTGTTCTGAGCTTCTTGAGACATTGATTATGTCTACATCCATGTTTGTACAATACCCACAGTAACAGGGCATTTTCTAAGTCTGGGGACCCTAGGCAATACTTTAACATAAATATTATATAATAATAAAGTTCTGTCAAGTCAGTGATCTGTGAACTGCCTCAGATTCACGTGATAGCATGTTATGGCGAAAAGGCAGACCTTAGCAACCATCATATAAAATCTCTATGGTCTAGAAAGTACTTAAACAATGATTTACACAAAAGTCATAAAATTAATAGGAATTACATATATTCAAAGTTAATACATACACCAAAATTGACATTTGTGCTCAGTTAAGGATTTCAAGTGCTCATTTCCCCTTTGCTCTTTCAACACTTTCCATATCAAACACTAAAAATGTTCACTGATACATACATATACTAATAAAATACCAATCAGCCAAGCGTTATGAAAACATTGAAATAGATTTTGATAAAATTGAAAAAAAAAAAATTTTACATTAACAAACAAATATAATTAGCAATTAGTTTAAAATAGTAATAGCTTCACATGAAGTTTGTCAAAGTAGGGTTAAATTGATTTTCCATTTCATCTATTCCTAGCCAATAATTCCCCCATTTTCACCTATATTATAAGAGCCATACAGTGCCTTGGCATTAACGTTCATTTCCGGGGTAAATGCAAACTGAGCTGGCTTACTTGGAAAATTGGACTTGCACAGAGAAGTAACTAAAAATAAGGGGAAGAAAAAAGAAAATTGTGGAGTTAGATACAGAAAAAAAACTGTTTGGGTATCTCATTAATGAATGGAGGTGGGGTGGGGAAACAAGAGAAGAAACATAAACCAAAAGGGCAACATACATCCATCTTTCATCTGGCCACAATAACAAGTCTTGTATATTTAAATGAAAGCAAGACCTACTACAAAACAAGTGAAAAATTATATTCACTAAAATAGTCAAATACGCCATCACCCCTTTCTAAGACTAAGCCAATTACAGCTAAACCCACTGCATTTTTAGCTTCATCCTACTTTAGTTAAATGTAGACAATTTAAACAGCTTTGGAACAGGAGGACACATGCTTCACAGTAAACTAAGAAAGGTATATCCCACTTTCTGATTCATATGAATTCTAGGGGGAGGTATTATGCAAGCGATAATACACCTTGTATATAAAAGCCTTCCTATATTAAAAATAAATAAATAAATAAATATTTTTTAAAAATACTATGGCTTTACTGAAGTGATACATATAAAACATTCTTATAGGTATACCTAGCTATAGGTAACAAATAAATAAATAAATAAATGAACTGTACTGTTAAGTATCTAACACAGCTTCAGTAGAAACCCATGAAACTAGACATTTTAAAACTCTCCATAAGTAATAAAAGAATAAATTAAGCTCTAATTAGCTTAAAATTTTAGTAAATTTACTGGAAGAAAAAAGGCAAACTTAAAAATGAGACAATGAAACCCTAGATTTCACAAAAGAAGTATAGTAAATGTCATGTGTTTGAAAAAGAAAAGAAGTGAAAAAAGCAACTAAGTGTTTTGGATGTTTTATCTGGAAAGGAAGAGAAACTACAGCCTCTCTAAAACATGCTCTGAAGTATGCCCTGAAAAAACGGTAGATGCTAAAAGTCTTATTTCAGAAGAAACAGCTTCTTTATTTTGCATGTTTCTTTCTATCATTATTAAGTATCTTTTTTTTTTTTTCCCTTATTGCTGAAAATAAAAAAGTTACTTCTGCTGACATTAAAAGCCTGATTTTACAAACTATTCAATGCACTCTAAGGATACTGTTAAAAGACATTGGCATGTTGATGTGAGCCGTACAAAGGTCAGTGATTTGGAGGCTCTTTCAGACAATTTGCCAGGATTTTGGCATTTTGTAAGCACACATAGGACAGCTCTCCAGCAAGCTGACCTTGACAGTGAATTGGATAAATAAACCTTCAATTTACCCCCTCCAGCTCGATGCTAGCCCAGCTGATCCCTCTGGAGCCTTCACCTGTCCATATCGTTCAACTGCCGGCAACTTTCAACTGACGAACATCCACAGCTTTACAGGTTCTGTGACAAACACCATCTAACAGATAAGGCTTCTGAAAAGTCAAAGTCAATAGTGTTTCCATTGAAAATTTAATGCTGCTTCCATCTTTACCCATCATTCTTCCTACTGTTGCATGTATCCCAGGAGGCACTTCAAGCAAAAGCACTACTCCATAACAGGTAATGACGTGGCATTTAATGATACTGTCCAAAGTGATCCAAGCCCATGGAAAGTAATGTGCACTCATGTACCAGATAAGCACAGCTGAATGTACTAGAACAGCAGTATCTTTCACTGCACTGTCACTAGATACAATGTGACATATGCTCTGCCATTGTACCTGGCTTTTCCTTTTACTTCACCATCAGAGGAAAAGAGCATTTTCAGATACAGAGCACCAAAGTGTTAAGGGAATTCAGTAAAAGGTAAGATGGCAACATATCCGTAATTAAGTATTCACAGCCTCTTTAATACTTCAGTGCTCTTGGATTCGCTACTAAAATCTGTGAATTATACCTCATTGAAGAATGTCCTTAATCGACTCTGACATGTTTTATTGGAGGCAGAAAAAATGTTTCAGTATGATAGATAAGGTTAAAAATGTTACTACTCTGATCATTTACTCTAGTGCCTTGCAAAAAACTCCAAAGCCAAAAACCATTTACATCAGTCATCTGATGCAATGGAGAAAAGAAAGCATTATCTGACAGCCCATTTTAGCTGATGGGACAAAGTGCACATTTTCAATTTTTCTGACAAAGTTATGTTGTTTATGTAGATAAGAGGGGAAAAAAAATAGAAAAAGAAAGCAACTAAATAACTGTAACATTTCTACCGCATGCCATAAGGATCTGAAATTTCAGTTAAACAGCAAAGTACCTTGAGACCACGCAGAGCATAGCACGACAAACAAAAATCATTTTTATGGTTTCAAACCAAATAATACATTACATGTTTTCTACTCTAATAGCAGTACAGAGTTTTGAGGCAGCCCTAGAACACTGCAGCAAAGCTCAGCATGACATCTCTATGCGTGTGTGAGAATAATTCTCTCACTGTAGCGTTACCTAGGAAGTAGTTTAATAAAAACAGCCAAAATATTTTTAAGTAAACATTTAAACTGAGTTTTTCTTGTACTAATTTTGATACTCTCCAGATATCAATGGTTTCTGTTTAGACTACTCACTGCAAAAGGGAAGAAAAGGAATCTCATACATATTCAATTTCTATTATTAATTTTAGTAAAGTGATCCATGACTATGTGGGGAAGTTAGAAAAGAAATTTTTAAACTCATCAGCAGCAACTTCTCCATGGAAAGACATGGCACTGGCAGAAAAAGATGGCTATTAAATTACATTCCACAGGACACAGCACATTAAGTTTTCAAATAAATTATCTATACATTTAAAGCCTATGTGGATAGCCTATATGAGAGAGAATGTATGTTTTGAGTCCCTGTTTTCAACACGAAAAGAATACATCATCATTTTTGGTCACGCCAGTAAAGCAAAATTAATAGAAGGGATTTTATTTGCAAGATTATCACTTCAAAACAAATTAGGAAGAAACAGTGTTTACTACAAAGGCAATATAATCCCATTTTGGTTCATTTTACTACTCATACACAAGAAGGTAAGCCCACATTTAAGAACTGGCCCAATTACTTCAGGCTTTGAGATACACTCCTAAATTACTAAGACATCTATGAGCTACACCATCATCCATTAGAAACCAAACTGAAAACTTACAAATAATTGGCCAAGGACCTAATTCTACAGAATAGACAAGGCTTTAAATTAAGACCAGATGTTGGATTTTATTCTTTAAACAGCAGTTCTAAGGACAGAGAAAGATCCATCTTCCAAGCCTACTTCTGCCTGCAGACAATATCACCAGTCTTAATGAGGCTGCTGAATGCTTTATGAACAATTCCTCCCACTAGTTACTATATTCTGGCACCAAAATTGAAATATTCATTCTAAATCTTGTCATTAGGATGGTATTGCATTCTGCCAAATTTTCAGTGCCAATTCTTATATTCAATTGTGATCAAGTGTTTCTCCAGAACCAAACACCTAACACAAAGGTCTGCCTCCACATCTTGTAATATCACCAGCTCATTAAGAAAACTTAGTTCCCATAGACACTGTTTGGAAAAGAGACACAAGGAAAACAGTTTATCCCACTCACATCCATGCTACCTGCTGCTGCTACCAGCTACCTGTATCTCTGCTTATATGGTTAATCACAATCATAAAAATCCTACTGAACAGGACAGTCCTTCCTCCAAGATAAAAGGCAGAGGTGGTAACAGACAAGGGGAATGGAAAATTTAGGGCATATTTCAAAACTGTGAGCTAAAAATATGGCCATGTACTCAGTAGAATGTAGAAAATAAAAATAAAAATTCCAACACAGAAAAATATAGGGTATAAGAAATGTGTTTGTATGTCACACTGGGGACTGTCAGTCAAAACTGTGCCTCTGGTACACTAATATGCATTACCATGCACAGAAAAACATGAAAAAAGGCTACCTTCTGAAAACTATTCTTTTAAGAGCATTCATGAATTTTACAAATAAATAAAAAAAAAAAAGCTTTCCTACTAGAACTTCTATTTTTTAAGTATATGCTTTAGAAGGCTAATTGTCACACATGAGAACAAGGTCTCTCTTCCTGCTGTATGGCCATTTGCAGTGGTGAGACTTCCAGCCATGGGAAGACATCATGTACTACAACTAACCATGCATTCTCCAAAGTAACTGTGGGGAACAGACAGAGTAGGAGGGTCATATCTTTATCTCCTCTTCCCTGGAAAGACCAATAGAGTAAGGTGGTATTTAATATAAAAATACAAATCATTACCCTGTAGTAAAAAGAAATAGCTCAAAGAGCTGGGAGTCTGAGAGCCAAAATTCACAATCTGGAGCTACCTGACAAATCTTATCTAAACATAACATAAGGTTACAATTGACCCCAGAATATTTCACTTAAAACTGGTATATTCTTGATTTTTCTCCACAGAAATTAATACACCATTTCTGCCCATATATCACAGCCATATATGCAGAGGTTCACACTTCTATACCTCACTTTTTTGAATCCTGCTTTCATGGCCTTTGAAATTATTTATTATATTGGTTTTGCTGCATAATAATTGCTTTCCTTTTGTACATTGCAGGGCTCAAGAGGAGAAAAAGGAGGAGGAAAGAAAAGAAAGAAAATGTACTATCCTTGTTATTAATTTTGAGACTGCTTTTTTCTTATTTATTTTAAAGTAAGATGTTTTATTTCCCAGGCAGTATGTATGCCTCGTTCGATGAAGTGTGAGGTGCAATTGCTGCCCTAGCTCTGTGTGTGGCTGTGGCCTTAGAAGTCAAGGATAAAAGAAACAAAACTTTGAGGTTTTTTTAATTCTCAAGTGAAAAATCCATTTGATTTCTTTTTGTTTATTGCTGCACTACTTAGGTAATTGCTTGAGTTGAGTCAGACTGACGGCAGGGCTCTGGACCCTCTGACTCCAATCTTTTTGCTTTATTTATTAGTCTCACTTATTAAAAGAATGTCTTGGCTTATATGATGGGTACTATTCAAGCAAAAGTTAAATCACTTACATTTGCAATTTAAGTCACTGACTGAAAAAAAAACATGTTAAATATTTGCAAAGACTGTCTAAAACACACAAAAATCACAAGCTCAGCTCCCCAAAAAATCACATTGTCCAAAAGGGTCTGTGAACATTTGCAATGCATTTAAGTGAAAGAAGGCCACAGTAACTTGCAGGTAAGAGTGAGCCCACACCAAAACTGTAGCCTCAACATGTATAAAAAACTTGGCCATGCTTAAGCAGATCATATGCAATAGCCTATAATGAGTGGCATCCCTCAGGGATTGGTGCTGGGACCTGTCTTGTTCAACATCTTCGTTGCTGACATGGACAGTGGGATTGAGTGCACCCTCAGCAAGTTTGCTGATGACACCAAGCTGTGTGATTCAGTTGATACGCTGGAGGGAAGGAATGCCATCCAGAGGGACCTGGACACGCTTGTGAGCTGGGCTGATGTCAGCCTCATGGAGTCTAACCATGCCAAGTGCAAGGTCCTACACCTGGGCAGGAGCAATCCCAGGCACAGCTACAGGTTGGGCAGAGAAGAGATTCAGAGCAGCCCTGCAGAGAAGGACTTGGGGGTGTTGGTTGATGAGAAAATGAACATGAGCCGGCTTCAGTGTGCGTTTGCAGCCCAGAAAGCCAACCGTATCCTGGGCTGCATCAAAAGGAGCGTGACCAGCAGGTCAAAGGAGGTGATCCTGCCCCTCTACTCTGCTCTTGTGAGACCTCACCTGGAGTATTGTGTGCAGTTCTGGTGTCCTCAACATAAAAAAGGACATGGAACTGTTGGAACAAGTCCAGAGAAGGGCCACGAGGATGATCGTGGAGAGATCGTGGAGAGACTGGAGCACCTCCTGTATGAAGACAGGCTGAG